CCCGAATGCCACTCGACTCACCCTGTATTTGACATTGATTATTATCTCCCAGAATTGGTATGCCCGTACAGTGAAATTTCAGGGATTTAAAATCCAAGGAGCCAGCTTCCCGTGAACGCGGACTTCTCCCTCAGATTTTTTTCTCCGGTGTTCACCCTCTTTTCCAACCTCCCTCGCGAATGTGTTGCGGGAGAGGCGGGTGGGGTGGGGTGGGGTGGGGTGTCGACAGTACGAAGAACAAAGGATGGCCTCACGGTCGGTTAATTTAATCTAAGCAAACATCATATAGATGGTACGTGAACGTGTTCCGCAGGGTAACAGGAAGACCGAAGAGGGTGGAACTCGTTGGAAGACAGAGGGTGGCGCCGGGCAGAAGGGAGGCTGGCCTCTGCAGACTGTGGATCTAGATACATACGTAAGTACAAGAGTATTCAAGACGGCGCTGAGGAACGATGTTTAGCATGTAGATGAAGATCTTGGTAATCAAGGGTTGCAGCCCCCCCGGGCGCACTTCGTCAAGTCTTACTTATTTCTGGCCGTCGTCATGCGAGCCGCGATCCATCAGCACGAGTCTTGCTCGCTCTGCCAACCCTTTCGAATACGTCCCGGATCGTGAAATAAATTTTTAACTCGTACACCCCTTCATTCGATGGTCCAAGAACGTAACCTTATGAAGTCGAATTTTTAGTATTTCAAGTTCGTCAGGTTCGGGGTTATCATTTTCAGGGGCACTAGGAGATTCAAACCTATCCTAATGGTGCGTTTGCAACAGATTGTTATCCGTAAAGCTTACAATCTCTTGGGGTTAGATACTTTTGTTTCTACAAACACTAGTTCACACGCAAAAGAAGTACAGAGGTATCAAAGAAAAATGCGTTTGTAGTGTTAATAATCAATGCGCACTGTAGTGTTAATAATCGTCAGCACCATGCCTATGCGCACCACACCTCTTAAAGGAAGACAGCTATTTAGCTAAATCGCAGGCATCTTTGATTTACCCCGAGGTAAACATTTAAAAACATCTCGTACCAGAATTCCTTCGGTATCGGTCTAAATTCTATAAAATCCTATCATTGGTGTTCATCTCTTCACACCCTTGGCCACATACGTGGACGTTCAGTTCTTTATAATTCTACTTACTCTCATTAATTTTATGGTTCGGCTGCACCGATAACGTTATTTCCGATGTACAGTTACAGATATAAGAGAACCGCGAAGTAAAGTCATCCCTGAAGAGGTCAAGTTCAAATAATGATTGTTGAATTTTAAAAGTGACGTATCGGTTAAAGAAAGAAGAACCTCGCCACCTTCCCGCGGGAGTGTACTCTACAACCCTTATCGCTTCAAAGATAAATCGGGAACTCGACTGAACGGATAGAAAGGTAAAAAAAAAAAAAAAAAAAAAAGAATTCAAAGCGGGCTATTATCGAGTTACCGTTACTTGGCCGTGCGATTTATTCGGCAAGCGGTGGTCGGTAACGAAGCCGAAGCCCTTCCCGCCGAATATCTCGAACCAGAGCCGTGTCTCGTTCGAAATGATCGGGTCTCGTTGTCCCGAAAATTCACCCCGTAATCGACGGACAAAAAGTAATTTCCCATCGAGACCGGGACAAAGGGTGATTTTGCATGGGGGGTTGTGCTGGCGATAGCCACGGGGGTGGCAGTGACCGGTGCGTGTAACGACCAAGTCACCCACCTCCCGCGACGCCCCCTGAAACCCCCTCTACTAGCCAACCCGAGCGAACGTTTACGGTGAACGCCACGTGCGCTCTATGCGTAGAAGAGGCGTGAGCGAGCGGGAGAAAGAGAGAGTTTTGTACGAGTACGCGCGTTGCGTTCGATCCGCGTGGTATGTGGGGCTCTGGGGCATTTTTCGTTCGCGTTTTTCCACCCCCGCACTGATCCGATACTCGCAACTTGGATCGAAAACGCGGCGGCGGGGTAACTTCGGTGAAAGGATTGGAGGTTTGAATTTGGGGTAGGTGATCGATTCATGATTCTGCCATGGATTAATATTGTCATCGAGCGGAAATACGTGAAACGTTTTTTAAAAGTAATCTTAGTTGGTTAAATACAATTGCGGTTGCGACACCATGGAAAGAATTATTATTTAACTGTCGCTTATAAATTCTTCGATCTAAACGTTCTAAACAGCTCGACAGGAAAATATTCAATTGCCGACACGTATAACATTTAAACTGCTTTTGCATCACTTACGCGACTCGACTTTTGGATAACGAATAGCCTGGATAAATCTGATTCCAGGTGGGTCGCAACAGTAGATTGATAATTGAGTAGTCACTTTTAACTCTCTTCTTAATCGCGTGGTAGTCGTAATACATTGTATAGGTGTGAAAAGGATCTTAAAGTAAAAATTCTATCAGAATTAACCAGCGTACGCATTTCCTGTATTCTGGCTACAATTCACCGTATATATAAATTTCTGAACAGTGATCGATTAATCTTTCTACGCTACTCCATTTCAAGAAAATTAAAAAAAGATTCAGGTCGTTCGAGCAGAGTCCCGCGAGAAGAACGCAGGTACCGCAATACAATGAAACGGAAAGGTCGGAAGAGACTCGAATTTATTCGCAGAAATATCTGAAATCGTTGTTCCTCCACGACGACCTTTTGTTGCGGCAGAAGAATACGATCTCCATACGCGACACGCAGAACAGGAAACAGTCCTTCTTCAGCAAAGAACAATAAACTTTGTCTACGGTCGCAATCCGAGTTCTCATTGTCCCCCGAAGCCGATTTACGAGGCCGCGTCTCGAAGAAAACGGAAGACCGAGAAAAATCGCGATCGGTGTCCGATGACAACGGCTGAATTTACCGTAAATTGGTAATGCGGCTCGACTGCAGGACAATAAATCGGTATGGCCAACTGGTCGAGCCAACGAGCCGTGTCCCTCGTGCAACGAGTCTTCTCACTCTCTCTTCGTCGCTCTCTCGTTCCCTCCGAGCGAGAGACACCGCAGAGTGGGAAGAAGAATGGACCGAGGGAAAGAGAGAAAAGGCCAGAACGAGAAGAGAGGGATGAAAAGCCGGAGAGTGAACGCGAGGGGGTGGCAGAGACTATCCCTCGACGTTCACCGCACGCTATTCTTCATACTCCATTATCCGTGCTCCGCTCCACTCTGCTCCATTATGCCGGCACCGCGTATAAACGACGAGCAGCGCCGTTTCGAGCCCCACGACGAGCCATCGTGATGTCCATCAGGCCGCTACCTTCGCGAAACACCGATAAACACCGCTCTCTGTGGCCAGTTTGCGCGCGACACGCGGCAAAAACGCGTTTCTTTTTAGTGCCACTGCAGACACCGAAGGACGGGATGAACGTTTTACGAGGGGTTGACTCGGCGTCGACGGAGTCGCGGATAGAGGGAAGCGTGGCGCTCTGGTTCCAGGATAGGGAGTAACGCTGTATCCCACTTAGGCGTGTATGAAATCAATGGATGAGAACAGTTGAAAATGGATTGAAGAATTGAAGAATACTAAGGAAATAACATTAAACGCTATTAAAAGTAAAAAGGATAGAGTAGATTTCTAGATCTTGGGTAGGAGAGTAACATTCTGTTGCATTTAGGTGTATACGTGCTACCAAATGCGGGCGTGTTCTGTTTAGAAGTTAAGTGTCGGTCTATTATGATATATTCATTATTAGAGTCGACATTGAAAATAAATATCCTATACGATTAGAAAATAAGATAAACGAAATACCTGTAAAACAAGAAATACGTAAATGTAAACATGTAATAGATGTAAACATTGGAACCGGGTACGTGCCTCTGGTGAGGAGTGCAGGTCTGTAAACCCCTTAAGTGAGTAAGGAAAAACTGTAACGACCCCAAAGGGCTCGCGCCTTCTTAATTAAAAAGGACTAATGAGAACACGAAACAAGAAACGTATTATGATAATACAGATTCTACAAGAAGCAACATTCAATATTATTTTAATAAAAATCCATAGAAATTTCATACGTGAGGAGAGAGGTTAAAGTAATATTTTTTTAAATCGTATTTTTTCATAATATTTGAAGGTATGTTTTAATTATGAATTTTAATAGCTGAATAATAAATAGGACAAACTTACAGGTTGATCTAGTAGAATATTTTACATCCATATCCATTTATGTTGCTGAAGGGATTTACTTAGAATTTCGCAAAGACTACTCTTGTTTCTATCCGCATGGTCCCTCGTGCCTCTCGGCTCATGGTCGCGAAATTGATCAGCAGACAGGTTCACTGATCCGCCAGCGATGCAATGGATGCGTCAAGAAAATGTAATCACGACGATCGCTAATATCAAGCAACCGCTCCAGAACACGAAATTCGAAACGTGTATTCGTTAGCAGCGCGTGCACAGGGCGCGGCTCCGACCAGAAGCAAGGAGGAGGAGTCTTCTCTCGGGGTCTACGTTTAATTAAATCTTTTGCGAATTTACATACACGCGCGGCTCCGGTTCCCGAGGATCCTTTGGAACCGTGCAGGCTTTGGGGAAAGCTTTGTAGAGATTCGTCTCGTTACTTGCGTAACCTTTTACCTGATGGGAACGTCATTAAGAAGACCGATCTTATGTACTTTTTTGCGGCTGACGGACCAGGGTGTCGTCAACCCTTATTTCCGAACAGGGGTGAAAGTTTCCGCTGCCAAGAAACGTAAACTGATTAACCCTTTGATTGCCACCCTTTCGGCAAGAGTTCTTTGAATGAATAAACATGTTGAAATATTGTAAATTAAAATACTTAAAACAAATGCAAATCTTATTTTTAATAACAAGCCCGCTAAATGTATAAAATACAAATTAATAAAATACAAAAATTTGTCTAGAGTGATACGATGACCTTTGCAGTATACTTACACGTAACGATGAAAAATGTAAACATAATTAGTTATACTGAAAAATATAAATCAAAAGGGTAAAAATCTAACGAGAGACGATGGACAGAGTCAGGTAAGGATGAATCAGCAGAAAGACACACACGTCGACAATCATATTTTGAAATACATTTTTTATTTCGACTCGGTCAAAAACTACGATAACAATAGGTCGGTAGATATGTATATCGGAAATCATTCTTGGGGGAATGTTCGTCGTCGGCGCGCGAGGCAAGAAAAAAATTAACGAATTAAATCGTGGCCGACGCGTCGAACGGATTTTCGGTTTTTCGTTTGATGAATTTCGATGTGAAACCGTCCCGGCGCTGCGCGCTGCCGCGACGACGGAATTTTACTTCGTTGAATCGCAAACAAACTTCCGCGAGATTCGATTCCATTTTCCGTCTCTTATCGTCGCGACGCGATTTACGTTAGTTTCCGTCGTTCCCCAGCGAAGAAACTTGGAGAGTACGACTAGGACCGCGACGTAAACCACGCCGCGATATTGCACGAGCCCGCAGTTCGAATCGATCGCGTTATACTATGAAAACATAATCGAAAGGTAGAAGGCGCGCCAAGCGTTTGTTGGACAGCTGGCCAAAGGGTGTTGCTCCGTAATTAACCCCCTCGTGCCCGTATATAGCGAGCATTATTTATTCTTCTTTTACCACGCATCAGTCTATTTTGTCGCAAATATTACGATGAGATTTCCAACAAAATTGTTTAACAATCATTCGCTCTGATGCAACGCCCTTCCAGTTTTATTTTCGATAGCATCTTCAAAAAAAAAAAAAGAAGATTAATTTTTATGTTAAAAGTGGTGACAGTAATTGTGTAAAGTACATATTAACATAAGAATCGAGGAATACATTGTGATTAAGTTAATAAATGGAAAAATGTTCATCGTTGATTTATAAATTCAAAACGGTTAACAATAAAACAATATATAACGTATAGTTAAATTAAGAATAATGTGGATACATCCTTTTACGAGATTTTCCAGATTATTCTTAGTTTGAATAAGTTTTGAGGTTGACAATTACGTTGCTTCTTGAATTCTTAATAATAATTTACAAGTATACTTGTATTTCGTTTGTTTAGTCGTTAGAACCAATTTATGTAACAATATTATTATTGTAACGATACGACGCGAATAGCTGTTTTCAATATTTACAATACAGATTTTGTACAGATTAATGCAGACTTTGAAATAAAATAAATAATAGGAATGATAAGGTAATTGAAAAAGGAAACGATTAATTAGTCTTAGATGTAGATAGGAACTTTATTCTTACCATTCAATGTTTATGCAAGATATACTTCCGCTGTCAACCGCCCTAAATTTATAAATTTCAATTCTTTACATTAGAGAAATCGTTGGACGCTACATTCCTGAATTCTAATGTTATATGTGTTTTACACATTTTGCTATATTCATTTTATTGATCAAAAATAAACTTTTTGTTCTGAAACTGTAATAAAACTGCTTGTTAAGAACGTGTAAAACCGTGAATTTTATTCTAAGCACTTCTTCTTATCGAAACTATAATTTAAATTATTTAAACACAATTATTTTATAATTCTATTAAAAACTTCCACTAAACATTGATATAACCGATGTATAAAGCTAAAAGAATAACCTTTGAAAAATCATAGCTCATATGTAGAATAATAACGATATAGATTTTCTGGGACAGCGTTGCACCGAAAACAACATAATGGACACGAAAGGGTTAAGTAAAGGTTCGCAACCAAAAGAGTAGCAATTTCTCTCTAGAAAAACACAAATCGTAAATGTAGAGCGACAGTTTTTCATACGACAATTCGTTTTCGAGGAAAATGACAGAATATTCGTCGAGTATGCGTGAACTTATGTATGCTACTATTTAACACACTTCTGTTCATAAAAATCGTATAAACGAACGATAAACTACGACATTTGACGCTAAAATCGGTATATTACAGTTCTCGGTATCGAATATATTAGCACAGACGAGTAGGATTTTATTTGTGGTTGTACACTTGGGATAGGAGTACTATATGTACAATAACAATTTATTCACTACGTGAATTCGATTATCGTGAATCAATTCGATTGCATACTTCAGATTGTAATTTTATTAAAAAAATAATATACGAAAAATTAAGCTACTTATCGTGTCTTCTCCCAAATTACGTATTCAGCGTGATATACATGAGCATAACTTTGTTTAAAATGCAGCTTTAGAAATGTTTATTCTTTTCAAACGCTTCTTAAAAAATAATAAACAAACGAGCGTATGGACTGTCTCAATTGGTTTAATTTTAAATGCTTAAAAATTGTTTCTTTGTACATCATCAAATTCAGCTTAAGAAACTACATAAAAGTACAAAGCTTCCAAATTTTTGTCAGACTAACTACTGGTAGCTGATTTTTATGGCGACGACTTCCCTTTAGCGATGATTGTCAGAATATGTGTGAATAATTGTGAAATTTACCTTGGTTTCTTTCTGTCGGCAGTGTCCATACCCATCAACCCATGAATTTCGGAGATCCTCGAATCCACGCGATGCACAGCAATTTCAACGTGATCTACTGAAAATACTGAGAACGGTAATGCCTACCGATTCTAGCGTCTACCAACTGCAAAATCGCCATAGCTCGGCGAATATCCGGTGTCCAAAGTGACCGATTCATCGTCCCGAAGTTTGGCCAGCCATCTTCGAAACGTCCGTTCCCGATTCGTCGCACCTCGCGTAGTTCGTCGACAGTGATGAACGACTCGATGAAACGACAATGCTCTATCTATGTACAGTGTTATATACATCATCATCGTCGTCACCATCACCCAGGCCACGCGTCCCCACTCACACCAGCATTGCACTCAGGATCCGTTCTCACGCTTAACTAGAAATCAGCTCGCTCTAAAGGATTCGTTGAGACACAACCAGCGAAAAGGATCCATTCGGGATCGAACCGTATCGTCGCGAATAGATCCGCGATCAAACACGCGCACCGGAGCGTGTCCCTGTACTCTTTTTTATTATTTTCGTTTTTAATGCCCACTAGTAGCTAGTTTCGCTCGGTGGCGAGCCAACACGTCGCACCAATCACAGTTTGCCGATCGACGGTGTCCCTATCTCTCTCTCGGCGAGCTAGGGGACACCCTAGATGAGAGGCTGGTTCGATGTACCAGACTCTTGGTATCAGTAAGGCCTCCAGACGTTGTTGTACGGTCTGACCTCTTCCTGTCTGACGCTACAGCTGTCCGCGACCGCTCTCTGCTCCGGGCTCTCCGAGTTTTGAAATTGGTTCCCGTACAGCTGAGAGTAGAGGATGCTGGGAAGCACCCCGGGCGTCGGGAAGTAGTTGCCATAGTTCTGTCCGAAGGCTTGTTCCTCGTGCACGGGGCTCTCGGTGGTGCTGGAGTCCGTGGACAGGGACTTGGGCGAGACGTAGTCCTGGTACCTCTGGCTCGGCGTACCGGACAACAGGCTGCTCAGTGGGTCCAGCGGGTCCGTAGGGCTCGTCGTCGTCGAGTCAGGCACCACTGTTCACGAAAGAAAGAAAGCGGCTTTTGTCTTTAGTTCTCTACTCGTTGGGGGAATTGGGATGCGGTTCAGACACTCTACATTAAAATACGAAGCACCTTATATAGAAACATTCTTACCAAGCCGATTCTTTGCATTCACTTGGTTTATCACATTACCGGCCAATAATCTCAATAACCGTATTTCTGATATTTTCGAGGAGAGACTCAAGTAATGAGCTAGTTTGTGATAAATTCATATTTATTGAAGTAATGATATTTTAATTTATTGGACAGGGTTTTCAAACAAGTGAATTAATGATTTACTTAAATTTTTCTTTCGTCAAAGTGCCAGCCCTTAGTAGCGTACACAGCAGCGCACACTCGAGGCCTCAATGTTAGGTATCAAGGTATCAATTTTTTCCAAGTTTCAGATTTGACTGCCTTTCATTTCTCTCGCAGTGGGTGCATCCCACACATAACCGATAAAGAAATAATCCATGTAATAGTGTTAAGCTTAGCATGGTAAATAATACAACCGTCACCCTTACATGGATCACGTGGTTCATTGGGAACCTTCTATATGAACAGAATTATAGTTTTATGGCAGTGAAAGTGTTAAGCAACCAGTTAGAGGAGAGGATGAGAAAATTAACGAGACTTACGAGAAGACACCGCTGAGAACGCATCCTGCTGTGCCGTGGTTCCCGTGCCGGTGTCGGAAGCGACGGTAGTGCCCGCTGTCGAATCCGGCGCCGTCGGCGTGTTCATGGACGCGGTACCCGCGAAAGACGCCAATGACGATGACGGCGGCGGTGGCGGTGGCGGAGGAGGCAGCGGGGGTGGAAACGACGCCTGTGTAGCACACGACGACAAAGGACCAGGAAGATAACCAGCGTAACCGGCCGTGCTTCCGTATCCCCATGAATTGCTCGCAGTCAGACCGAACTGCGACATGTCTGAAGAGATCGTATGACTCGTGTATAAAAAATGTTGCTAGCCTTGGTGGGTTTTTAACAGTACACTTGTGTGTAAAATTACAAAAACTCCACTCTTTTCTGTGATTCCAAGCTCCCCGTGAAAAATAACGCCTGTATGCAAATGTTCGTAATTTTAAATCACATTTACATGTACCCTTCTGACATCTGGCCTTCCGACCATCATGAATTGTATACGCTACGCATCACGAGGCAGAATTGTTAACATTGAGTCGAATTCAACTAAATCATCGAGCACAAGACTTATCCATATAGAAATTGATAAATTATTCTCGATTTGCTCGTCTTATTTTCTCCGATAAAATGTGACGTGTACATATTTTAGTCATATTTTGGATGAGAAGATAATCGAAACTCAATGGGCCTGACGGATTTCATCGGTATTGGCATGATTTACGCAAGCTAAAATTAACGCAAGCTGAAACACAAATGGAGAGTCCTGACTCTAGGAAGAATGTGCGTAGATCTGTTGGAAGAGCGAAACAAAGGCGATTACAGTACAACCGTGGTTGTACTTTGATACTTTCCACAGAACGCAAATCCAGAGCTCATTTACGAGAGAAAGAGGAATGTCGGTCGTTAAGCGGTTGAAAGAGTCGACGCACAAAGACGATTGCCGTGGTCACAGACAAGGACGACGAGAATCGACGAATAATGCGATTCTTGGTCGATTCGAATCATTTTGCGTGCGTTTACATCGATGGGACCGCGCTTCTTTCGCGCACCCTCGTGGCTGGATTTATTTTTGCAGCGTATAGGCAGCGCATCCTCCGATAGATTTTCCAATGAGTTGCGGAGCTGAAGGCAGGAAGGTCGGGCACGGTTCGCGAGGTGGGGGTCCGGTCGGACAGAAAACGAAGGGCGGCCAAGCTGGAGATCAAAGGGTTGGTCATCCCCGCGTAGCTCTGGCCAACTCAAATAACCGAGCTCGCCTCTCGACTGGCGCCACTGGTCCGTCGTGTCGAGGAAAGCCTAACCCTAAATACTGCAACCCAGCATGCTTTCGCGTCGTTCGTTCAATTTTCACCCTGGCTTCACCCTTTTCTGCTAGGTAATCGTCGTCGAAGGAGCTTTCCCTTGCACGACGGTGATTTCATGTTTTCGATTAATTTCAGGTATTTTTCAGGTATTATATCTACAAAACATTTGTTTTGCCCAGATCTTAAATACTTTCGAGAAATTCAGTAAATAAAGGGTCAAACAAATTTGTAAAATAATATGATGACACGTCCGAAGCAAACTATGCGAATGAGCAGCTTCCTCTAAAGTACCTGTATCTTTTAAACGGGTGAATTTCCGAAGTTAAAATTTTATATTTGGTGACCTTCCACGCTCTTCACTAACATCCTCCTTTAATATCGATTGGGCCTCTCGGAATATTATCCATATAATCAGTGGTTATAACGTGAACCGCGTCATAGCTATATGATTCAAATGAAATCTTTCCACGTCAATCGATAGTTGTCTCGCTCTTATCAAATTTCTGGGTGGACCACTGATATCGCAAAAATGCGCTTCTTAATGTGAAACATCGACTTGCGAAAATAAATTCTACCCGTCGATGCATGTTGCTGTCCGATATCGCAAAATTTGCAGCAAGATGTCCGAAACTCGGCTGGTCACGTGTTTCACGGGATACGGACGCGAGCTATCGATGTCCGATGCAGTAAAAAACGTTAATAAAGGAAATACTCGGCGTGCTTGATACTTTATCGGGAAATTTTCCGCGTTATCGCGTTTAGATCAGAAGGTGACTCATTAAAGCGGGCCTCGAATATTTTCCGTGCGGAGATTTCTTTCGTGAGAAGATACTAAATTACGTGCGCGAAAAATTTATTCGCGGACCACAGATTTGGAAACATCGTAAGAGTTAATTATAGATCTTTTCTACTACGTGAGAACAAAAAACGAAATCTTTGTACTTCGCATTTCCCTTAAACGTATAATTTTGTATCATCTACAATTTCGAAACTACAAAATTTTACAAAAGTATTTATAGTTATGTTAAACGATCTTTTAGTAAAAATTCGTGGGGAAAAAATAATTCGTAAGAACCGTTCTCCATAAAAATGATAAAAAAAATATTTTGAAAATGGCTAGAAAGTGTCTCGATAAGACGCACCTCGATAGAAAGCTGTTCTTCCAGCGCGTCAAGACATTCCGTACGAAGTGTGCTCTTGTACCTATCATCTTATACAAACACTGCTTTTCGCTTTTTTAAAGTGTCGATACCAGAGTGAGTATGATACTTTATATGTTTTCTTTCTACATAACAACGTGTCACACTTTTTTTGTATAGGTTTCGTTATATCCACCAGTTTTCAGTTTGTTTTTTTTATGCTATTCGCATAAAAAAGGGAACACGTATCTTTGAAAGATTTACGCTCGCGTAAGTTCATTATGTATAATCCTTAACAAAGTTTGCTGCTAGACGTACGATACATTCCCAGAAATGATATCTGAGTTAAAAGGGTTAAGGATTCAAATCCGAGATGTTTCCAAAAATGCTGCAAATTTTTCTCGAAGAGTTCCATCTGCAAGTGCGTGATGTTACACGTGCAAATCTGCGAATCCCGTTGCAAACGTACAGAGAACCAGGGGGTTACCACCCCGAAACGACGGAGCCACCCCGACAGGCTCACCGCCGCTCCCGTGGCAACCCCTTTAATATAATATTTAATCTAGCTTTGAACAGGCTTGCGGTTTCCGCCTCTGGAGTCGAGAAGCTGGCTTGCAAGCCTATCCGAAAGCTCCGCCTGTATCCAACGGAGGCCAACAGTGTCTGCGCTTGGAAATATTTCCGTGCTCCCAGAGAAGCGCTTCTTACTGTATCAGCAACGAATTTAATTTTGGAAACGGTCTGGGATATCGCTTCGCGGATTTCTGGAAGCGAGAGTCTCGGGTAATTTTATACTAGACGTATAAGAACGAAATTTATATCTATCCTAGTGCTAGATGTAACGATATAAAAAAGTTTCTTATTCTGAATCGTGATTCTTATTAATATTTAATCGAAGACTGAACGTTAATATATGCATTGTAAATATTCAATTCATTCGGAGACGTACATATTTAATGTATTTTACTTCGAGAATGATTTAATATCTGTAGGAGACGAAGATAAAGCATAAAACATAGGTGAGTGCAACCAACATGTTTGGGGAAAATGATAAGGTCGCTTTTTGCTCCACGAGTGACATTGTGAATCGTCCTGCGTGGATTTTTCGTTTCCAAGATAGGTCCAAAAATGCTCATTTTTGAGCGTTCTCCTTTCATTGTCAATGTATCGAGATACTTACTTTGACAGTTGCCCGGCATCGCATGTCGAAACGACGACAACGGATCCCGTGGCTGCAGCGGATTCGGTAACGGCTGAAGAGGATTCGGCAAGGGTTGCAGGGGATCCACCAAGGGCGAAGCGAAAAACGGACCACCCCTATGGGAGGCAAACGCGTACGGATGGAACTGCTGCTGCTGCCCTAGAAGAAAAAACACTGCGATCAACCGTGCGCTTGTCCACTGGACTTCCGGTACCTAGCATCAATCGTTCTCGTGACACTTTGCAACGTTTAGCATTTTATAGACCTTTTGACCCAATTAACTCTTGTCATAAAGCTATAAGCTGAATTAACGACAATGATTCTTAATATTCCACACAATACCTGGATTCGGAGCGCTAAGATAATATTTCGATGGTAAAAGAAATTTGGAAACCAATTTTATTTTTCTCTTAATGGAACGTTCACCGATTTCAAAAGTTATTTAGGACAGACGTGCCTATCGGAAAGATACGAACGCGAATAAGTACTCGTTAATTTAAAGCGAATGAATGTTTATACAAATTGATACATTTCTCAATACAGAAAAAGAATTTAAATTTAAATGAAAGCATGTCTTATCTTCCAAACGGTACAACATATATTATGATATAATATAATTATATATAATACCGATAAGAATTACATATTTAAATGAACAAATTATACGTATACGTATACGTACGTCATTTATGAGGATTTTAATGTCAGTATTTTATCCAGTGATAAAATTAAAGAATTTACTATAAATTTATTATACATGTAATTATATATAAAACATTCACGTATCTAAACATATATATTTATATACATTCTGTTTAGTTTAGCGAGACCACGGGTTTGATGCCCACAGTCCAATCGCAAGAACATCATCATTTCGAAACGTCTGATTCTTATACCCCTCGTTTGCCAGAAATTGAAACTGCTCCTGTCAACTTCCCATCTCTTCGAGTCGTCTTTGAACTTATAATCTTTCTATTTGTCATCATCGACACTGGGTATCCTCATCAGTCGTACCTCCTCTCATCGTATATCCTGAAACTTTCTCAAAACTACTGTCGCCACGTAATGTCCGAGGATGTCTTTGGTGTTCTTCACCGTCACTACTTTTATTTCTCCTTGGACCGATCAGGCCAGGTACAGCGTCGACGAGGCAGCAGGCTTGAACGAGTGAAACTAAACGTTGGCCACGAGAGAGAGAGAGAGAGAGAGAGAGAGAGAGAGAGAGAGAGAGAGAG